GGGGGGTAGGCATAGCTTCATAATTGAAACCGATTTTTTTCGACTTTGTTTGCTTTATTTAAAACGTTATAAGTTTTATGCAACAACAGTATGTGTACAGGGAAATAAGTAAACTTGAGTTTTTGATTCGTCGATTATGGTTCACATTCCTCAGCATTGCCTTTGGTCTGCTGTTAGTCGGATATACGTATCACGATACGAACGAATCAGGCACTTGTTTTTGCTTGTTTGTTTGTTTGTTTTGTTTTGTTTTTTAATATGGAGTTATTAATAAAATCCTGTCTTGCATTTGGTAAAAAATAACCTACAGTTATGAATAGAAGTCGAGATATTTGCGATATCGGAGGTATAATTTACGAGAAAACGTCCTCCAAAGTTTTACGACTTTTCAAAGTTTGAGTGTCTGTGGAAACCGGAAATTTACACACAGAAATATGTTTTTAAATGGATATAACAGGTGGTGAGCCAAAAATGAAAATTAGGAAGAAAAAAAAAAAATCCCAATGGCCCCAAAAATACCCGTTTTCTTGATTTCACTATTTTGGCACGTGCCTGATTTGACCACGCTGCCTCACGTATGTGTCAGTTACGTTATTAGAGAGTCTGGAAAAAGAAAACTTTTCGGTTAAATTCAATGCGACGGGGGCTCTCGTGGTCTAGAGGTCACGGTGTACGCCTCTCATTTAATATATCCCAGGCTCGAATCCGGATTGCAATAGACAATGTTCTTCTCTAAGATATTGTCCTTTCACCTCATTTCCTGCTCTCTATCAATGTTCTATCGTCTACTTTCAGCTCTACATTCTGCCCCCACCTCCAACCCCTTTGCCCCCTCCTCTGGGCTCTTGACTCTTTTTACAGCCTTTCTACTACTAATCCTTGGCTCCTTCTTACTGCAGTCTTTCTGCCACACCCCTGATCTTAGGGTAGGTAAGATCCAACACTTAGCCTTCTCGGATAAGGGCGAACAATTTTGGAGGTCCCGTGTGCAAGTTGCGTGCGTTAAAGATCACTTGGTGGTTCGAAATCCCTTGGTGGTGGTCCACCCGGGCAAAATTCAAATTTAATACCTACCAAACTGATCAACTTGATCAACTTTCGTACAACTTTTGTACAACTGTGTATGTGTATGTGTGTGTGTTTTGAGTGGGGGTGGTTGGTTGCTAACGACCCTATTAACTTTATTAGGTTTTTTGATTTTAGTAAGAAGAAGTGGGACCTTCGAATTTAGCGACCGTCTCCTATAGGATCGAGTCAGGTGGGTAGAGAATCTTGAAAACTCCAAAAAAACGACCCGAGTTCAAGAATGCCCTTTCTGAGATTCAAACCAGGGACATCCTCTCCATAGTTCAGCATGATACTAATTGAGCTAACGGAGCACCCTCTTGTACAATCAATTTCAGACGAGCAAACTGTCAGGAAAGTGGAGAGTGGCCAAACGGAGGTACAGGAAGCAGCTTGCGAGAGGTCGTTTGCGCATGCGTATAACGTTTTCTGACGGACGCCGCTTGACGGGGAGTATTCAGCCTCGTCTCATGTGTGGAGGTTAGTTGTGTCTTTGTTTGTGTGTTTGTGTGTGTGTGTGTGTGAGTGTATGTGTGTTTGCGTTTGTGTGTGTTTGTGTGTGTGTATTTGTGTGCATTAGTGAGATAGAGGGGGGAGAGAGAGAGAGGGAGAGAGAGAGAGAGAGAGGGAGAGAGAGAAAGAGCGTACCTGGCGGTGTAAAGCGTGTGCTTTTTATAATGAACAATGACACCCAAAAAAAAAAACGATCTTAATGAACATCTTTCTTTCTGTGGCGCTAGTGTTTCAGGCTGTACTGACCAGTGGCCAAACAGTTGACAAAAAGCGGACAAGCTCAGCTGGTAGTGCGGTCATCCAGATAGGAGAAGATGGCAGCTTGGATTACAAGGTAACTAAAAAAAAAGAAAAAAAGAAAGAAAGTATAATTTTTTTTAGAACAAAAAAAACCTCCTGGCTTTGAAAGACCAGTCAATCCTCTTTATTTGATAAGTAACTTGTGTTTAGAGATCTTACAGCATTGATGAGAAGCATAATATATTGTAAAACTGGCAGTATTCGATTTGGTGCAATATCTTTGAGAAACGTACTCTTCACTCGTCTCTATGGTTATTACTTTTATGTGTCACTGTCACTTTAATGGCAACTTTATGTCAATAGTGCTTTGAAACAAAATTGTCAAAAACACAATGTCATCATCTCTAAATGCAATCCTCAGATCCGCGTGGCTAACATGGAAAATGACGTCACAAGACTTCGTCTGCAGACGGCGTCCTCCAAAGAAAACCGTAAATCTCGTCTGGTGGGTAATCTGAAGCGGAAGTACGTCTCGGACACTTTGGATAAATCAAGCGGCTGGGTGAGTTTTTACAATAGTCTCTTTTTTAATATACAATTTAAAACAATGTATTATTGTTTGTTTGTTTTGGATTTTAAAAAATTTCAGCCAGTTAATCCAACTCCTAAACATCAAAAAAATAATTTCGAAGATTAAGTATTCACTTGATGGGAATTGTAGGCTACAGTAGGAAACAGGAGGCAAAGCACACTTTCCACAAATTTTCCTCACTTCATCCAAATGGAAATAGATACCCAACTATAGACAGCGATATATCTGGTCAGTTTGTTAGTGTTAGTGTTTGAACGTTGAATCGGGTGCAAAAGTTGTGAAATGGTATAGGTTTAACGCCCTCTCAACACTGTTAGGTTATATAAGAGACAGGACCTCCGAATGTAACGCCCATCTCCGAAAGGACCGAGCCAAGTGAGAAATTCGTGTAAAGTGCCTTTCCCAAGGACACAGTGTCGGACCGAGCTGAGGCTCGAACCTCCGAACCCGCAATCTCACGATTACGAGTCTGGTAGCTGCTTAAACTACACTGAATATTTCCCGGGAGCCAAGAATGCTTCAGAGTCCTGTTCTAGAGTCTGTTGTGGCAATACTAGTTGTAAAACGCACAGAGTATGGTGTACGGCCTGGATTTACAGCAATTTGAACGCAATTATTATTATATTAATATTATTATTATCATTGAGTGCTAATCTTGCGTGGGGACAAATTGTCCAAAAAGACGGCTATTGTCCCTTGAAGATAATAGTTTTCTTTCCCTATTCGTTTGTCTTTCTGTTTCAGCGCTTTAATAAATGAGCCTCACTTTCCCTCTTTTGTTTTAGTAAATCTGCCTTTCTTTTAACCCTGCGTCATGTATTCCAGATAAACTGGACTCAGCTCCTAAGTTAGGCCGTTACTTAGCCGATTTGCTCATTTTATTTACACGAACAATGCAGCTGAGCCTTCTCCATCAACCACCGTACAAGAAAATCATTCCTACACCTGACCCCCCCCCCATTTGCGTTTTTCTACATTATTATGGCACAATCCAAGACATCCACCTGTCTAAGACAACCGCTTTTCTCCAACAAAATTGCTTTGTCCCTTGTAGGTAGTTGTCTTTCTAGAGAGACCGCGTTTGTCTTATTTTACAGGTAGTGCATTAATTTAATGAGCCTCGCTTTCCTATTTCTGATTTTATTTGTCAAGTTGTCTCTGCGTCGTATCACCATCTTTGACAATTAATATTTGTCTTTATTTTGCCCCCCCCCCTCCCTTCCAGGCAAATGGTACCTACAAGCGTCTAGGGGCTGAGGACGTGTTCCGACTGTTGAATAACCAGCTGTATATATCCGTGGCCACAGGCAAACCTAGGCGTGCTGCTCTCAGAGGGAGACTTGTGAACACCGAGTACCATGAACACTTCAAGAAAGAGGGTATGGCCTTGAGCTATGAACTTTTATTTTAGTATTAATTTACCTCTATTGCTTTGCATTGTGTGGTTGTTTCGTTGCTTTTTTTCTGTATGCTCTTACACTTATCTTTACTGACATGTTTTCTCTTAGCCTACCTGTACCTTGATTATTTTTTTAAAAATTGCATATAGGCCTACGTACTTCTTTTTTTTTTAAGGAATACAGGTTGAAATGGTTAGTCTCAATGCGTAGTGTAATGTCTTTACTAATGGGTATATTAAGTTCCTTCTTTTCCAACACCTCGTTGTGTGTTGTATTTCTCTAGAAATAACTCCACTGACAACACAATCTGTATACGTGTGTATGCATGTTTGTGTGTGCATATATATATATATAATGTGTGTGTGTGTGTATGTGTGTGTGTGTGTGTGTGTGTGTGTGTGTGTGTGTGCGAATATTGTTCATGCATGCATTTATGTAAAGCGCCTAGAGCTGTGTTCACACGACAGTGGGTGTTATAGAAATGATCTACATTATTATAATAACTAACTACGTTTTATTTTTTTTCTTGACATGCCAACTTTGTGTTATATTCCAAAATATTGTTATGCACACGTCGGTTTCTATAGTTTCATTATGTTGACGAGCGCCTGATTCCACCACGCTGTGACATAAATAGAACTAGGTCATCAAAGCATGTCGACAGTTCCGTACTCGGGACCTCGTCAGTTTTTAGTTATTGTGGGGGTCGTTTTTACTTGGTCGAATTTTCTCGACATGTTTTGTCTTTGTACAGATAAAGAGATCACCCGGCCGGGGGAAAATGAGGTTAAAAAATATACACACACATGCACTCACACACACACACACACACACTCACACACACACACA